CAAGATTTTGTACACTTCTCCAACTAAACAAATCTGCTCAGGTACTTACTGATGCATCTTATATATGATCGTTGAGGGATCTGTTATTTGGGTTTCTTAAAACTTTCCTCGTACGGAAGACTCGTGATAGATTGATTTTGTTTGACTAAACTTAAAAGATTCACTTATAAGTAAGTCCATGTTTGATTAGCAAGAAATTTTTATTCAAATCTAAGTTAAAGTCAACAATTAAATTAATACACATTTCGGATCAACAACTTTTCAACCACATCTTCCACTAAATTTTATCAAAATCTACTAAAAATATGATTTTAATCTAAGCCAAACAGGGGCTAGATAAGTTGTAAAATTATTTTCTTTTTTCATAGATATTTGACCATAAAGTAAGAGTTACTTACGAGAGCTTATTTCAGTTTCATTGTAATCTCCTTACAATTTGAAGTCAAACTTTAATTTTTACCACACATTCATGTCTATTACCTACCTATTATCCACATCTTAAGGGGCCCTTTACTCCTCTTCATTATACTGGACCCAAACAAGCACTTGTAACTTGTTTTACTTATTAAGCCCTTGTTTGAGCCCCATTTTTTCAAAAACTCATTTTCAACCATACAATTTTCAATAAAATAATTTTACAAAAACTTTTTCTTATTTTTTAACCATGCATTCTCCCAAAAAAAAAAAAAATCACTATTCCAAAACACATTTTCCCTCAAAATGGGACTCAAACAAAGGCCAAAAGTAGGGAAAAAAATAGTAACTTATCCAAACATATTTAGATAGTACTTATTTTTTAAGCTTAGCCTCACATGTGCAAGATAGAAAATGGTGTTCGGGAGAACTCTAATTCGTGAAAAGAAAATTTCTTTGCTTCCTTTATAATTTTTGAATTTTGCTTTAGTTAGAGTTGAACAACAAAATCGCCAAACTACAAAACTGAATCGAAACCACTTTTTCGAAACAATTGGTTTTGGTTAACGTGGAAGCATCAACATTTTATTGTGACAATTTTTGTAAACAATTTCAAACCGTTTACAAAAAAATAAATCTGAATTAGATTGATTTAAATTTTATTCAAGTCAATTAAAACTAAACACGTCTATATTAGGCTCAACCCAGTTAAATCCAATACTTATCCCTATCCCTATCAAACTCTATATCTAAATTATGTATCCTAATTAATTATTATTTTTTTTTTGATAAGAATCCTAATTAATTATTTAATTGAACTATACTCAATTACCCATCGGTTATGACAATTGAGAATGCAAAAATCTCAAATTGGCTGAAGTGTTCAACTAGTGCTCTTGAACCATATTCATTGACCTCTCGTTACAATTAAGTAGACAATTAAATCTAGATTTTAAGTCAAAGGTGCACCATTGTTTTTCCTTCTATTAGTAATTTTCTAGGATTTCAGATCAATTTTCTGGTCAGTTTATCTTATTATTATTATTATTAATTTTTTTTTTTGGTAATTGTTTGCATATTTTATTGGTAATTATCTTGTTGGGATTTGTGTTAGGCTCCCTTAAATTTTAGCTTCAATTTCTTGGTATGTATTTTTAACTTAGTTATAGTTAATTGTTGTGGTTTCATTAGGAATATTGGGTTACTCTTCAAAAAGTTTACAAGGAATAGCGTTGGAAACCACAATATTCCCTTAAAATCTTTAGATGAACCAACAATTGGAATAGCATACTTATTTTTTATGTTTTCGATTTGCTTGTTTGGAAGTATTCACAAGAAAATTGAGTGAATATCTATTATTGTCATAATAAGCAATCAATTTAATTTTTTCTAATAAGAAGGATTATGTCAAATTTTTTCTGCTGCAGTTGTGCCTACAGCCTATGCATGTTTTAAGGTTAAGTTTAGAGAGATTTTAAACTATATTTTTTATTTAAATTGTTCGATGTGTGTTATTTATTTATTTATTTGCTAAACCGTGGTTTTAAATCAAACAAAACCAAAATAAGTGGTCCAGTTTGGTTCAGAAAGTGATGTGGTTTGGTTGGTTTTGAAAATTTTCAAACCACGTTAAATGGTCAGGTTCGATAATTTTCCTCCAAACCAATATGCATTCACCCGGAGTCTTAGTTTTTCTTCCTACTTAAAATGGAAGTTTTTGTGATCTCATGCATTTGTGATATGTGACTTTAACATTTTCGAGGATATTTGCCCTCGCCTTTTCTTATTTTGGTTCTGCAGTATTAAATAAACTAAGCAATCAGTTCGAACATGATCAATTTCTTGCTTATCTTCAGGCTTTATGTCCACGAGATCTCATTCTAACTGGCGCTTAAAACCTTTACAGGAGTTGGCAACTCATATTGGTGAGGTTGTGATGAACAAGTGCTTTTGCACCCGTAGGAACCCTATTAGTATATCCGCAGCTGCCATTTATTTGGCCTGCCAATTGGAAGATAAACGTAAAACACAGGCTGAGATCTGCAAGGTGACAGGCCTAACCGAGGTCACTCTTCGAAAAGTTTACAAGGAGCTGTTGGAAAATTGGGACGATCTACTTCCATCAAATTATAATCCAGTTGTTCCTCCAGAAAAGGCATTTCCAACGGCAACCATTCCTTCAGGTCGTTCCTTGACTTCTAGAAATGATCTAGTCGAGGGGTCTTCATCAGACAGGGACAAGCATTCTGAAGTGAAGTATACTAAACCGAGTGATGTCCTAGACTTATCCCGTCAAACCAGAGGTAAAGACAATGCAATGCAAGTCCCACCATCTTCTTGGAGGCCCCAGGGTGCAGTCGGAGCCTCTACTATTCAAAAACCTCGTGAAAGGAATCAAGCTACGACCCAAAATATGGAAATTGATTTACAGTACAAAAATCGTGAAGAGAAAAGAGTAGATGCTGATGCAAGGGGTGCGTCCAGTTCCCCGAGCTCGGTTCATTTCCCTAATCCTCCTGCTTTAGCTGCAGGTGTCGTCCCATGGCCATTTCGGCCCCCAACGGCATCATCCCATTCGCCTTCTGTTCAGTTTGTGCAAGCACCAAAAGGAGCTTCCAATGCTGTGGATGAAGGATCCTCGAAACAGATTGGGAATGAAAAGGTTATTTAGTGTACTATTAAATTAAAAGTAATGTTCTTTTATGCATATGTAAATATCACTGGTCACCTAGCTATTGTGTGATTCTTTTTTATCTTTTAAGACTTTCAATTATAATTCAACTTAATAAAATTACTCAAATTATTACTATTTTTTACTTTATAAAGAATAATTAGAACCAACTGGATACCTTGTTCTAGGGGTGGCAATGGACTTGGCCGCCCACCAAGCGAGAGCTCAATTGATGGATGGTTGGACTTGTTCCACCTCGAGCACATGGAAGATTCGAGCTTGAATTTCGGCCAAGAAGAGCTCAGCTAGTGAAGTTTGTGGACTCATCTACGAAGTCTGCCGTGTTATCCTTATTTTTATTTAATTATGTTAAATTTCCTTATTTTTATTAGGTCCAGACATTTTAATCGAAACCGAAACTCTCAAACTGGAATAGGAGGTTCTAGTCCAATTCCCAAAAACAGAAACTGGGAACCAAAATCGAGAAATGATAACCGACTGGGTCTGATTCGGTTCTTGGTTCATGAACTAGAATTGTGGGTGTTCGAGCGCAACTGATTTTTATATAATTTTTTATTTACAATGTATAAACTAGATACAAATATGTAAAACCTAAAAATCATAATTTGGATAATAATAGTATAAAACTCTATACATTATAACTTCAAAAAATAAAGACTAGCTCCTCTTTTTTTANNATAAAGACTAGCTCCTCTTTTTTTACGTATCGGTTCACATCAGATTTTTGCATTTCAAAGGTTTACATGTTTATCTTTACAGTTTTCTTTTATGAATCAAAAAGTTCAATTTAGGTTGTTGTGTAAGTTGATGAGTCAAAACATTCATTCTTTGTAATTCGAGTTTTTTTACTTTTTTGCATCATTTATAAACTTAACCGATTTTTAATTTTTTTTCTTAATTCATGAGAATTGAACTTGATATATTCGTTGCTTGGGCTACAGTGTATCTTTTTTGTTATTTTGGGTTCGTGATTCTCTTTTTAAATATAATTTTTATTTTTTATTCAAACAGAGCGAGTTCAATATATGAACCGTAATTTTTTTATATAATATAATTATGCAACTAATTAATAATATATTTTTGTTGTTAGTTTGTTTTAAGAATATAAAAATTTATGCATTGTTCATAATTAAATTATATGCTTTAATATGTGTCTTTTATGGATCGAATCAGATTTATTACGAAAAAAATATTTTTTTTTCTCGAACTATAATTTAATTTTTGATATTTTAATTTTCTCCCATTTTCATGATTTTTAGTATCCAATATTTTGATTTTTGAAGATTTTTTAGCTGAATTTTC